AGTGGTATTTATACATCCTGCTATTTATCTGTGACCTGTTTCGAGAGTTTTCCTGGTCTCGCTGCCCAACCTGGGTCACGCCTCCCTGTTGATTGCCTGGTAAACCAGGATGCTGCTACTGGCGATTCGTTGGCCCACATATCCATCACAGTCTGGTTGATCTGGCACTCTGTAGAGGTGGTGATCCAATTTCCGTTTGAAAACTTTTACACTTATTCCAGCAATAGTCTTATATCTACAGTAGGTTGAATAGTAGAGGATATCGACAGTGTTTTCGTATTATGCCCATGGCACCCCTTCTCTTCACTGGGTCTATTTTACACTTCCGTGTATATCTCTCACTGCATTACGTTATTATGGTAAGTGTGTAGTTTTTTTGGCTAGGGTTTCAGGTGTCTCCCATGTATATATTATCAGGTATCCCTCTTCTTCAATACAGGTAATACATTCCCGGCGAAAATTAATCAAAAAAATGAAACTTGATGCCCAGAACTTTGTTCTCAGCTAATTTGTAATAAATACCTAGTACTATCTATACCTGCTGTGGATCTTAGTTTAGTTACATCTGTTCCAAACTCTAGGTCTCCCACCTGAGATGCTTGTTGGAGGCACCTGGTGTAGATTTCACAATGTATATACTGTGTTATAAAATACCAGTGTTCATATTGGATAAATGTTCAGTTTAATTAAGTGTTCATTTTTGTTAGGTGCTCATTTTGCATAAGCATTTATTTTTAATAGTATTACTTCATATAAGCGCTCATTTAATAAAACTGTGTGCTTGGAGTCTCATCATAAAGCAAAACTGAAGGGAACTTCTTGAAATATAATTAAAACTGTTAAAATTGCCCAGAATACTGTGGGTAACTTTGGCTTTGTAAAAAAAATACTTATTCTTTACTTTATTACTATATAGCAATTTACCTGTGTACTTTTTTGCAACTAGACATTTGAATTTGAGTGCGTATTGTGCAGGCATTGCAAGATGTTGCAAGAGACGTGGAAGCATCGGCTGAGGCCTCAGACGTAGCTCTCAACACTCGCATCATGGAGCTGCAGGATGCCAAGATCAAATTACTCGACAAGGATGCTATGGTAAGTTCGGCGGTACTTTGATACCGAAAGAACACATGTGTCTTTTCATCCATGCCATGATAAAGTGTTTTTATGTTTTATGTATTTTGTTGATGGATGGACCGAGTGTTTTCTTCCCCCCAAGTGGCCACTGGAAGAACTCTTGTAGAAGCTTGTATAATGGTCTCAATTTGCTGCTTTGCTATAATTTGGATTTATTTTACATAATATCAAGGCATTCACACACTTTAGCGCTTGTTGTTTGATACTTATGTTTTTTATTATTATTAATATGGTAAACACTGACATATATTTTGTAATATGAATCAAATCTTATATTTCCAAGTTTTTTTTTTTTTTACTTATCCCAACCAACAGTTACGGAAGGAGATAGGAGAGGAAGAGATGAGCCTGGCGTCGCTGCGTCAGGCTCTGCAAGACAAGGAATCTCCACTACAGGTGGCACAGAGTAGACACTGGACCCGTTCCTTCAGGCTTGGCGCTGACCGCTGTCTGGACCATCCTCACTACAGGTTGGTGACTGCTGAACCCGCTCCTTCAGACCTCACATTTTTTAGCCAGGAGTGTATACGAAAGTTGCAGCAAGTATGAGGCTGTGAGTAGGAAACCTGCTCTCCAAGATCAATGTGTGTAAATATAATGCAGAGAATGAGGAATGCATAAATTAGATGGTGTGGTCGTAAAAAAATATAACCTCATGAGTGGAAGATTATTATTATTGTTATTATTTTTATTGGTCTATGCTAGAGTTCGTCACGGCCACGCTAGCTGGAGATTCGTCTGTAAAAACTTGCATTTGTGGTCACAGTGGTGCCTGTGCTAACCTTCCTATGGTGTAGAAATATACCTAGTTGGATGAATCTTATTGTGGCTAGCTGGTCTAGTGGCTAACGCGACGGGCTGGAGTTTTGAGACTATGACCGCGGGTTCAATCCCGGCCGGGGTATGGTTTGTTTGCAATCGTGTCATCACGATTTCGTGAGTCATGTTAACACAGTGAACTGTGAGTTTTAAGACTCCGTTCTGTGATGTGTTTACAATCGTGTTATTACGGTTTCGTGAGTCAAATGAAGATGTTCCAGTGCGAAGGATCAACACCGAGTCATAATGTCTACAAGGGAGCAGCAAGAGATGTTTTCTTCGTTAGGTCACCCAACTTTAGTGCAAAACGGCCAATGTGTTAACAGCTTGTGCATAGGTGTTACACAGGGGACAGCAATAGCAATTTTATATAAGTAATAAGTCATAATTTAGCAAGAGCAAGTGTTGATATTTTTCCAGACTGAAGGATGAACTAGAGGAGTTGCCCAGGAACATTGAGACGCTGCGGGAGCGTCTGAGGACCAGTGAGGACACACTTGAGGACCTCCATCGCCTCCACGAGGACTTCGCTAAGGATATCATGAACAGAGAACACACCATCAGTCTGGAGCGTCGCTGTGTCAACGTCAGGAGCGTTAAGCAAACACAGGAAAAACTATTGGGCTTGTAACTCTGCAGGATGCCGCTGTGCTTTTACTTACAAGTAACTCAGGTAACACCTGCTGCCAATGTTCGCCTACAGGTAATTAGGTACCTAGGAGTTAGTCGACTGTTGTGGGTGGCATCCTCCCGAAGAGGACCTGAGACCACTAGCAGTAATAGGCCAGACTGCTTCACTTAATATCCTGAAGACATTTTTTTTGTTTTTTTATTTGTAAGATGGATATTAAAAAAGATCTCTTTTAAAATTTTTGTATTTTTTTTTTACATTATAATGATTTACTTTATAATGTTTCCCCCAAATAAACAACTTACATTTTAAGCGGGTCATAACTTTTTTTTTTTTTTTTTTTTTTTATTTAAACATCATAAATACAAGGCTGCTTAAAAATTAAATAGCATCACCATACATAATCCATAAGTACAACGAGGTACAACACCATAAATTACCAATCTTTAACTAATACGTATAGAATATACGACAAACACAAACCCTAAAATGCATACGTAACTTTCACTAAACACACACAATAACCAAAAGATATAACTGCGTAACAAATTTTAACACTGGTGGAAACACCACTTAAAAACCCCTTATAACCCACATGCACATCATACAAACCATGTTACCCTTGATGTTTAAACAATAGTTTATGTAATTTGCATACAAAATATAAAATTGTTTATAGAAATTCCAACTTAGAACAAATCAATGATTTACTCTAACACAAATTCATTAACATAAAAAAATATTAAAATAAATTGACGATCATATTAATCATCAGCAAAATTTCCATCCATTCCATAAGGGGTTTCAATCTTGATACCTAAGAACTAAAGTTTGAAAACACAAACAAAAATCATAATGTTGCTACATATTTAAAAGGATAAAATTTGGGAAATTTCGGGGTAATGACGTTTTATTCCCTTTAATACTTTGGGAACACAACTAATTGAACAGAAAACAGGGAAGGGATAAAAAAAATGCATAAATAAAACATACATATCCCTACATATGCATATATAAAAAATTATAAACATATATTTTATATATTATATATATATACATATATAAAATTATAATTTTAAAATATATATATATATTATTTTTAACTATACACATACATACACACTACATACACACACATACCAACACCATATACATAACACATATATAGGGGGGCCACGTTAAATTACCCCAAAATTTTAACTGAACCTCCATAACCCCAGTCAAAAAAAAAACTAAAAAAACCTAGGGGAACCTCAAGAATACAACGAGTCTTTACGAAAAAGGAAAAGCATCAAAAATATAACAAATAAAAAAGGGAAAAACCCCCCAGCCCATTTTGTCCCAAAAAAGGGGTACAAAAAAGAACCCAAAACCCCTAAATCCCAACCCCCACACCAAAAAAAAAAAAAAACATTCTTTCCCAAAAACCCAAAATTTTCCCAGGGCAACTCACACCTTCCCCCCAAAGACGACCAGCTATTCCCCCCACTGCCCCTACCCCACCAACTTATTCGGCCACCCCCGTATATTTATCACAGTTCACCAAGGGTTTTTCAAGAGTGACCCTTTTTTAATAACCGCCCGAAAAAACCCTTTTAAAAACCCCACCCCCTCCCAACTTTCCCAAATTCCAAACACATTGAAACGAAAAAACCCGTTATTCAAGGAAAACGCCTTCTTACCCACTGACCCCCTTTTTTCCCCCGGCTTTAAAAATCCCCCACGAAATAAAAAAGGGAATCCACAAAAATAAAATTCTAAAGCCCGTTAAAAACGCCCCTGGTCTAATCCCCCGGGGATGTCGAGACTTAACGCCGCGGGACCGCACTCCTCTCCCCCCCCCCCTCTGTCAACCACCCTCCCCCAACCAACCCCCTGAAAATTTTTTTTCTAAACCTTCGCAAAAATAGACAACTTTGAAAACCGTTTCTTCCCCACCAAAAAACCCCCACAACCCCCCCCCCTCCCCCCACGACCTTCTGGATCGAAAGAAATTCCCCTTTGACGGCAATTACCATGAAAAAAAAACGAAACATGACTTCACCGCACCCTAGGCCGAAATTTTCAATTTGGGGGCTAAATGGGAAGCCATATATTTTTCCCCACAGTACAGGGGGGAACAAACCTTCTACTGGAGCTGCGCACGTCCCCCCCTATAACCATTTAAAAAACCCTTAGCAAAAGTTCCTCCTTTCCCTTTTACCATCAAAAAAGCTCGTAGTACAATCTCACTTCCCCCTTAACTCCCCATTCCCCTAAACCATTTTTTCACCCCTTAAACTTGGTCTATTTTTCCCCGCCATCACCCCCACCCCGGCCAAACCTCCCCATTTTAAAGAAAAACACTTTTCCCACCCTACCTTTAAAGCCCAAACAATCCAAAACCCTTCCTCGACGAACAGGTAACATAACAACCTCCGTTTTAACCAATCAAAACCTCGATCCCCACAAAAAAGGTAAATACCCTTCTCAATTTCCATTAAATCGCTTTTTCCCTTTGAAATTTTGGGAATAAAACCCGCAACGTCCCAAAAACCCCTTTACAATACAAAAAAACGTTAACAAAAATTTCACACTTGGGGGCCAGAGTGAGATTTTGGGGGCCCTCATAAAAACCCAGACGCCCAAAGACCTTTTCCCCAACGCCCTTTAAATAAATTTTTCCCCCTCCCGCGCCACATCCAAATCGCTCTAAAATAATACCGCAAATTTTAAATGACTTTCGCAGTTTTTTTTAACCACTTTTTAACAGCTCCCCCTTCCACCCTTTTCCCAAAGTCCCAAACCCCATGATTCATCGCCCTTTTCCCAAAAACCTTTTTTACCTTAAAACCCCGGGTGGCACGTTCAAAAAAACGCACAACATTTTCCCAACCCCTTTTCATAGCCCTTTCCTTCACAAAACCACCAAAATTCCTATCATCCAAAAAACCCCTTTTAATCCCGGGCCAAAAAAAACCCCCCTTCCCCCCCTCCCCCAAACCCCCACCCCGGGGAACTAACGGGTCCCCTAAACCATCCTGAAAAGGGGACCCTAAAAAAACATCAAAAAAATCTTTGACTAGGGAAACCCTTTTTTTTTAAAAAACCTCAAAACCCCATCTCAAAGTCCGCCCCCCTACACCCATTTATTTGTCCCCCTAAATCCTTCCCCCCCCCTTATACAGAGTGTTTCCCCCACCCAACCAATTTTTTCTTCCCCAAAAACCCCCTGTCCCCAAAGGGAAACTCTGCAGTCCCAACCTCTTTCCCCCTCTATCAAAGGGGGGCTGGGCCAGCCCAAAGGCCAGTAAACCGCCCCCTCCCCTCCCCCCCTTTGACTCCACAAAATTTCTTAAAAAGCCCGTGCCCTTTTAACACCGACCTCCCCGGGCAACCCATCCGGATGGCAAACGCCCCTTTCCCCACCACGCTTTTTAAACCTAAATTTAACCCCAAAATTTTTGAAAAAACCCCTTATAGCCCCTGCACAGAGAAAAACGATATCGCCCTATATTTTTTCCCAATTTTTGGCTGCCCTTTCCCTTTTTTCGGACCAAAAACCACAACTGCCGTATTCGCTTACCCCCCCAAACGAAACCCTTTCCCTTCATAAAATTTAATAATTTTTAACCATGAACCCCCAAATCAACCCCCAAATGCTGCAAATAAAATTCCCCCGGAAAAACCATCAATACCCGGGACTTACCCTTCCTCTTTTCCGTGTAAAGAAATTTTCCCAATTTCCTCCTCAGAAAAAACCCCCAAAACCCAATGCCTTTCCAATCCCCGTGACCCAAAAAAGGGCACTCACATACGTCACCCCCTTATTTAAATTTCCCAACTTCATCCACGCCACTACAGTCCATTTTTTTTTTAAAACCCATGTATCCCGAAAAATATGCACTCTTTATTTTTTGGGTTTTTCCGTATAAAACCTTTCCCCGCCCCCTTTTGATTCCCATCGCCCTCTTTTACCTCCAAGCCGGGTTTTGGCCGGAGCGCCTTTTTTTGCTTTTGTTGTCTCAACACACCCCCCGGTTTCCCCTTTCCCCCACAAAATTTTCCTTCTAACCCCGGGTTTGAAACCCTCCCCGCTTGAAACCGCTCTTTTATGCAACTTTTCGCAAGCTCTCTTTTTTTGTCTCAACCCCCTCGCCCAGGGGTAAACACCCACAAACCGACCCCTCCCCCAAAAACCCAACTTCGAAATTCGATCCTCTAAAAAAATTTCCTAGCCCATATTTTAAAGTGTTTAAAACGCCAAAACCCTCCCTCACATAAAAGGGGACTTTATCCTTTCCTTTGCCACCGAGTCCCCCCCCACCACGAAACAATTTCTTCCACCCCTGAGTTTTCCCTTAAAAAGCCATTCCACAGCATAGAAAAACCCCCCCAACCCTTCCTCATCACTTAACACCAAAATTTAATTTCCAATAATTCCTATAAATTTCGGGCCCTTTCCCCCCCACCCCCAACCCCCACTAACAACTGCCCTAAGACCCGACAAGACCGTCCCCCACCGTATTAAAAGACTTTTCAAACTTTCCCTGCGAAATATACACTCCCGTCTAACCTTGCAGCATATCCCCCCCTGATAAAAGTATGTTCCCGTTTTTTCCCAACCCCCCCCCCCCAACACATCTCTTAACTTAACATCCCCCAACAAATCTCTGAGGGTGCAGACACATGCCCAGCCCCTTTTGGGGTTGACGTCCCGCCCGCCCTTATACACATTTTCCCGTCCCCCCCCCCCCTATGCTACTTCCGGGAAAACCCGCAAAAAAAAAAAAAAAAGGTTTCCCCACACAAAAAAAATTTCCCTTCGAACCTTCGTTCCCTTCCCCGGGAAAGGGGGGCCCTAGACACTTAACCCAAAGGGTAAAAAAACGCTTTCCCCCTCCAAGTTTCCCCTCCACCCAACCCAAAACCCTCCCCCCACCCCCCCCCAACCATCTCCCGCAACACAAACGGGGTCGTCTCTTTTAAATTTAAAAAAACCCACACCACCTTTTAAACGACTAGTTGGGGGAGGGTCAGTCTGTAAAAACCTGCAACCTTTCAACACTTCCTCCCCTTTTTTGAAATTGTGTTCTTGAAGGAAAGAACACAAATTTTATGTTTTCAAAAAAAACTACCCCAACCAATCTCTCTTTAATCTAGTACAAAAAAAACCGTTAAAATTAGCAGGC